GATTCCAGGGGGAAAATGAGACCAAGGTGGATGGCACCGAACGATTTGAAAGACAGAGCTTTTGAAAATTTAATGAACACTGTGACTGGCCACGTGAAATCCTCCTGTTTGCTTGGGCAGAGTGGAGCCTGGGGCCTGCTAATCTGTTCAAGATCCTCTCTATTCCTAGGTGAAATTAGTTTTGTTTTTTTCTTTTTGGGAAAACATTACTTTCCTTTCGTGACTGTGAGCCCACAGGGAGCTAGCTGGCTGTTTCTATGTGCATTCCCCAGACTGGACCAGACCCCTGACCACATGTAACAGATTAGTTGAGGTCTTGCTCTGCTGATTGTCACCACTGTGTCTGCATTCTTTGACCGTTATCAAAGGAGCTGGGAACTGTTCTGTCCCGGATCTGGCAGCAGCCGTAGCTCAGCAGTGTGGGCGGTCTTTTTCCTGATCATGCAGAGAGAAAAGGTCCAAAAGAAGAGGGCATCTGAGAGCAGCATGTAAGTTTGTTGATTCCAGCATACAGAAGGGTGAAGTAGGAGGCCATTGAAGCCAGCCTGGGTTACACAGGAGAGGTTGTTGGGACAGGAAGGGGGAAAGGAAAAGAGAGAGATGGAGGGAGAGAGAGACAGAGATAGAGAGACACACTGAGAGAGAGAGAGAGACAGACAGAGAGGGGGGGGGAACTAGATATTGCTTAATTCCAGAAGGCAGGAGGACAGGAGTTCAAGGTCATCCTTGGCTGTGTAGCAAGTTCAAGGCCACCCTGGGCTACTTGAAAGAAAGAAAAGAAGATAGGAAGGGAAGAAAGAAGGAAGGAAGGAAAAGAAAAAGCCCGGTTGAGGCAGGTCTTAGCCATTGTGCCCTTAGTTCTAGGAGAAGAGACTGTCTGCCTTCATAGACTTCCTGCGGCGAGAGAGAGAGAGATGAACATATTAAGAAAAAAAAAAAAAAAGTCCCAACCAGGATGGAATGTGCACATTCTTGATTTCCTCCATGGCTAAGGGACTGACAAATAGGTTTCAACATGTTTGCAGAATGTCTTTCACTTTTCACGAGGCCTGTCCCTACAGCAATTACTGCTGTTTTCTCCCCTTTTTACATGGTCACGCCCTGCAGGAGATAGCAGAGACAGATTGCAATCTGTCAGCAAGGCATGACACAGGCAAACACAAGGATAGCTATAGATAGAGAGGGCATCAAAGTTAAAATGGGTAGAGTGAGCCCTTAGCACCTACCCTGGGTTCCATCCCTTGAACCACCGTGTGTGTGTGTGTGTGTGTGTGTGTGTGTGTGTGTGTGTGTGTGTATGGGGGGACAGCCGGGATGGGTGACAATGTAATTACTTCCTTGATGACTCTATCCCTTCTAGTCCATCAATCCCAGGAAGACAAAAGCTGAATCTTAATCATCTTTGTGTTCTGAGCACCCAGACCAGGGACCGGAATGTAGGAGGTGCCTAAGGAGCCTGTACGGTAGCTCGGTGGCTAAAGGTGCCTGCTGCCATGGCGAAGGACCTGAGTTCTAGCCCCAGGACAAGGGTTTGAGTGTGACTCCCCAGGACCCACATGGTGGAGAGAGGGAATCAACTCTTGAAAGTTGCCCTCTGCCTTCCATACGACAGCCACATGTGTGCCCTCATACATACATAATTAAGAAATGTAGAAAATCGAGTGGGACCTGTACCTCTTTTCTAACCTAGTAGTTGCAACAATGTCATAACTGTGTTTAGTACAATTATCTTGGAGCATGTCTTTTCATAAGAGTCCTTCTACTTACAAATTTATTTAGAAAAGTTTCGGTACTGTGGCTGGCTCAGTGTTGAAGGCACCTGCCATCAAGCTTAACAGCCTGAGTTTGACCCCAGGTTTAATCCCATGGTTCCTGCAGTTGTCCCCTGACCTTCACACCCGGGCCATGGCATATATGCATTGCCCCCTACAAATAAATAAATGTAATGAAAACTTTTTTAACATCTGAGAAAACCACTCAAAACTAGCCATAACCGAGTGTCTTAGTGGCTAATGAGAGAACTGAATGTCCCTATAAGAAGGCACAGCAGATATTTTTTAAATACCAGAAAACAGCGCTTTTCAAAAAATAAATCTATTTTTTTCCCTGAAATTAATGCCTGTGAAATTTGAAGATCTTGAAGTCTTCTAAGTTCTTTAATAAATGGCAGAAACAATACCCTAAGCCTTTTTTATTCTCTCAATGTCCTTTTTTTTTTTTTTTTTTATTTGATAAGGTTTTTCTGTGTAGCCTTGACTGTCCTGGAACTCACTCTGTAGACCAGGCTAGCATTGAACTCAGAGATCCTCCGGCCTCTGCCTTCCAAGGGTTGGGATTAAAGGCAAGCACCATTAGCACCGGGCACACTGAGCCATCTTTTCTCTCAACATTCTTTCCGGCTTTGTCGAAATGGGGGCTCAGGCTAACCCACAGGGTAACACACAGTGTTTACAAATACCTTGTGCATGCATTATGCTAATGGAATTGGACTGGATGGATATCAGAAGCCGATTTTTAGATTTGGACCGTGAGAGAAGTACCTACAGACCACGCTCTGAGAACATGGAAGCATTAGGAATTAATATTAATATATATGTTAAATTGCAATATTGCTGTGCGTGTACATGTGTGTTTGTGTGTGTGAGTGGACATGGACATGGAGTCCATGTATAAGTCAGAGGACAACTTGCTAGAGTCAGTCCTCTTACCATGTGGATCCTGGGGATTAGATTCATGTGGTCAGGCTTGGTAGCAAACCCCCCTCCCCGCCGAGCCGTTTCACCAGCCTGGGGATTAATATTGAAGAGCATTTATAATTGATGACATCTGAGTCCAAAGCTGTACCGTAGCACATCCCCGTGTTCAAAGAGTGCTGCCGTTTTTCTCAGATATGAAGCTGTTATCCTGAGATAACAACACCGACAGGAACAGGATCAGGAAGTCACATTCTTGTTCACTAGGACTTGAACCTACATCTCTTGACTCCCAGATCACTTCTCTATGAATCTTTGTCACAAGCCGCTAAATCTCTTATCAACTCGCAGAAGCATACCTTATGGTCTAGGAAGTACCAGAATATCCGGTGTTATAATTCTTGAGGTTATCAGGAAGTTGGACTCTTTGAAATCATCCTCTAACCTTGAGCAAAAAGGCGAAGCTGTCTGCTTTGATAGATAGATGATGGGGGAAGTATCCTTTGATTCAATGGGCAATTTGTAAATATAAAACAGTTGCTGGAAAATTTTATTACAGATGAACTATCTCCTTCTTTACAATGTTTGCTTTTCTTTAATGCAATTTAATTCGATCAGAAAGGCTTGGGAAGGGCCCACATTCAGTGCTGAGGAGAGGTTACTGGAAAGGAGACATACAAAATGAGAAAAGCAAGCCATAGATTTGGAACAGGGGCGAACTGAGGCCGTCTGCCCAGCCCTGGGCTGTGCCCACGGGAAATTGAATTCAGAGCTCCTACTGCCTCATAAATCCAGGGCAGCTGGCAGCAATCCAAGGGAGACTAAAGCTCAACTCCAAGGGCATCTGACGCCAGACTGGCCAACCCCTAGAATAATGCTCTCTGAGAGCTCTGCCCCAGCTGTGCTAGACTGGGATTAGGGTTCAGCGTCATAACTGCATTCATTTTCAAACCTAATTCTTTGTTAATTTTAAAATGCATCCAATCCGCAGGAAGAATGAGACTCCATTATTATCATACAGCCAAAGGATAAAAGGCTGGAATTACCCTAACATCCTGAGGGTGAAGAAGGGTGGAGGTGGGGGTGGGAAGAGGCTGACTTCTCGGTGGCTTCATTTTCAGATTATTGTTCTTGTTATTACTATTATTCTAGACAGGGTCTCACTAGGTAGCTCTGGCTAACCTGGAGCTCACTATGTAGACCAAGCTCACGTTGAATTCATAGAGATCTGTCTGCTGTGATCAAAGGTATTCACCGGCACACCCAGTTTTTAAAAATTTTTTACACATAAGCCGGGAAGAAATGTTTATTTAGCCGGGCATCGTGGCTCACGCTTTTAATTTCAGCATTCGGGAGTCAGAGGCAGGCGGATCTCTGAGAAAGAGAGAGTTCCAGGACATCGAGGGCTACACGGAGAAACCCTGCCTCAGAATCTGGTTTTATTTTTATGTGTATGATGCTTTGCTCGTACACATACATGTGCACCACAAGCATGCCTGGAGCCTGTGGAGGTAAGAGGACTGTGCCAGATACCCTGGAGCTGGAGTTACAGGCGACTGTGCAGCCATGCAGGAGCTAGGAATCGTGCCCAGATGCTCTGGAAATCAGCCAGCTATCTCTCCTGCTCTTCATTATTTTTTATGTGTTTTTTAAAATTAGGTTTTTAATATGTCTGTGTGTGGATATGTGCATTTGGGTGCAGGCGCCAAGAAGTATCGGATCCTTTTTGGAGCTGGAGTTTACGAGGGTTCTCAGCCTCCCCGTGTGGGTGCTGGGAACCAAACTCGGTCCTCTTCAACACAGTTAAGCTCCTCTTAACAGAAGAGCTCTCTCCTCACACAGTCATTGCCGTGTGTATGTAATGTGTGGACGGCCACGCACGCTGAGGTCACAGCACAACTTTACAGAGTGGGGCAGTGGAGCCAATCATGCCTTGCTTCTGGCTGTTTTCCCAGTCCGTGCTCGGGCGAGTCGTGGTTTTGCAGAGTTCGGCTTCCCCGCGCTCCCGATCGACAGGGCTGCGTCTCCAGGATGCTCCAGAGTGGGAGACGCGAGGTCGGTGGCAGGCTGCTGCGCTGCAGGCTCCAAGTCTCGGGGCTGGCAACTACTGCGGCGACTGCAAGGCCGGGCGGGGCCTGGGGGCGGGGCCGCTCGGCGCCGAGCCCCGCCCACACAGACAAGATGGGGCGTGGCTAGCGTCACGTGACGGCGCCGGAGCAGGGAGGCCCCGCCCGGCCCTCCGAGGAGGCCCGGCCGCGACCCGGGCCGCGCTCGCCGAGCAGCGCCTCAGTTCTCCCCGCGGCCGCCTCTCCTCGTCCCGGCTCCCAGCCCAGTCGCTCCCGCCGGCTCCGGGCTCGCCGGCTGGCGGGGAGCGGCCTCAAGATGGACGAAGGCGGTGGCGGCGAGGGCGGCAGCGGTGAGTGATGGAGGTGTGGCCGGCTCGCCGGGCGGCCCCGAGGCCGGGGGTCGCGCTGCCGAGAGCCCGGGCTCGAGGCGTGGGGCCGGGGCTGGGGTGCGCTGGCGGCGGCCGTGGGGAGGCGCGCGGGGCGAGGCCGGGACGCGGGCTTCGCAGCGCCGGCGAGAGGACGTGTCGGAGACCGCGGGGTCGTCGCCCGGCGCGATCGCGGGTCGCGGGTTCGAGGCCGGGGTCCCAGCCGCGCAGCTCCAGGTCTCCGTTCCGAGATGAGGCCACATTGCGGGGCGACCTTCCCCGCGTCTCATTGCCAAGGGCGTCCACGCCCTCCCTAGTCCAGCTGTTTCGGACGGGCCCCTCTCCTTTTCAGCTCTCCTCAGGTGTCTGGAGCCCGTGGATGGGGAGGGGAAAGTTTTCAATTTGGACGTCTGGGAGGGGGTCCGGTCCATCGGGGGAGAGGAGGAAGGCTGGCAATCATGACCACGTCTCTGGCTTTTAGATCAGAAGTGTTCGCTGGGAATGGCTTAAACGACACGAGGGACAGACAGGCAGCTCGAGTCCAGGTCTGAGCATGCATTTTTTATCAAATTGAAAAAAATGCCACAGAGAAAGGGGAGGGGGGTGTGAAAATAAAGAGAAGGATAAACAGCTCAATGATAGAATCCTTGTCTTACATGCCCAAGGCTCTGGGCTTGATCCCCGACACAAGCAAAAGGAAAATATAATTAAGAAATTAAAGGGATCAGGTGGGATCGCTCTAAAGCCGAGGGAGGGAACGCAGAGCCACAGCCAGCGAGGCTGGAAGACTGCAGGACGGGTGCTTCTGACACACACCCTTCCAGAGGCGGGTTATCAGCTCTCGGTGTCGCCTAGGCGTGTGTGCCTGACTTTGCGTTCCATCCTGCCGCAAATGTGGTGTTGGCTGCAAACTACTCAATGGAATACAAATTGCTGTTGTGTCGTCCTGTGAATTTGGTTTCCCAAAACAATAGTGGAGTGGATCGTTGATTGAGAAAGCAAAGGGTTAAATACCTATCATTTTAAACCAAACACCCCAAGTTGAAGCTGTCTGGACTTTGAGTAACGATCTTCCTTTTTGCTGACAGAATGATCAGAATTCCATGTAATAAGGGAGTGTTTAGGGGGAAAAAAAAGTCTTAATTACAGTCTGCTGGAGCAGCTGCCTGTAAGAACCAGCAGCGTTGAAGGCTTCCTGGTGGAGTGGCTAATCAAGGTGCCTTCTAGAATTCCACAGCTTTTCAGATTTTTTTTTTTCCTTCTGTGAAAGAAACGAGGTGGCTGTGCTGGTAGGAAGTTGGCACTCCTCGTGGCATTTGCCAAGTTCAGTTCTCATAGTAAAAGCCAGGGGTAGCACCGTGGCACCGAGTGGGTGTTTTGTTTATGAAAAGAAAGAGCCCAGTTGCAAACCCTCCTACGTACCAGCTGCCGGTTTGAGACGCTGCATCCCTGCGGATGCCTTGCCTTTCGCCTGTATCACAGTCTGACCGCAGTAGTTTAGAAAAGACAGTGGCGATTTGACATTGGAACCAGGAAGCTATCTGTGTTGGCGATTGCCTTGTAAGTCCTCCAGGTTCTGTGAGTCAACAAATGTGAAAGATTTGAAGGTACGAGCAGATACGGAGGGAAAAACTCAGAAGCAGATGTGTGTTTCAGCACTGAATTTATAGAATTGGAGAATTACAATAAAGCATGATATTAAATATCAAAAGGCTTAAAACTACATCTGGACTATTAATATCTCCTCTGGGACTGTATCCCAGAGAAACACTCTTAAAATTAAAAAAAAAAAAAAAGATACTGCATTCCATGGGAAAAAGTTGAAAAAAAAATTAGAAACAGTAATGCCTGTCAGGTAAGACTGCTTCAAGGAGACATTAGAAATAAGTAATTAAGGGGCCTGCTGTCAAGACAGCCTGACAGCCAGAGACTTTGGGAGCTGTGTGGTGGAAAGAGAGAACTGACGCCCACAAGGTGTCTTCTGACCTCCATAGGCAAGCTGCAACAAGCTTGCACACGCACACACACACACACACACACACAATTAAAAACTATAAGAATTAAAAAGAATAAGAAGTTATTTTATACATTCTGGTCTAAACAGTGCAAACACTGCTATCCTCATGGATTTTACTCTTATATTTTTCAGGTTTCTTGAATAAGAATAACATGCATTACTTTCAAATTTGAAAAAAAAAAAAAAGCCGCAGCTTATACAAGATGTGGATCTTTGAAACGCCCAGTGTTGTTTAATTCACCTTCCTGCAACATTCAGTAACGAAGAGATTTGTTGATTTTTCTACTGAAATGCCAGTGTGCTAGGTGATAGAAAACAACTTTTTAACTTTTATTGACCCAGTTTATCAAATATCTTTCCTCCTTACATGTGGAAAGAGACTTGCAGACTTTTGGCAATCTTAGAGTGTTTAATTTTAGTTTCACAGTTTTGAAATGTGAGTATGAACTTAAAGGCTTCTGTATAACTCTTGATCCATGGAGGTTTGAGGTTATCATACATTTCCTTGTAGTAGTTCCATTTCCATTAAAAAAAGAAAAACACCTCATTTTCTCTAAAAAAAAAAAAAAAAAAAAAAAAAAATTAAAAAAGCCCCTCAGCCCTTTGATAAAACTGTTTCAGTTGCCAGGCAGTTACAAAGCATAGCAGTATTGGGCATATCATTAGAGTATAGGAGAGACGTTTGCTCTGCATCTGGGAACTCAGTTTCAGCTTGTCTAGAAGATAAAAGTTAAATTTATTCCAATCTTAGTTATAGCAGAGGCCAAAGACAGTTTAAAAGAGCTTTTTATTGTTAGTGTGTTGGTCAGGTAAAAAGGACTTCAGAAGTTGATTCCAGTTGCAGTTTTTATAATTGAACTTTTTGTCCAGGCTTCAATTATTTGTTCTTTGCAGCGCAAGATAAGGAAGGGCTGGCGCATGAATGGCTGGAAGGCGGTTACAAGGAGGAGCAAGTGGGGGTGTGAGATTACAAGAACACATTGTTCCTTGTAACGTGTGCAGAGTGTAGTTGAGGTAGTTTTGCTTCCTTTGGCTCTTGGTGCCTTTCAGATTTTCTAGAACAGTTCTTGAAGTAAGCTGCTACTTTAAAAAGTTGCTGGCTAGTTTGGCTCCTTGCCACTACCTGATTTTTGAATGTGCCATTGGGGCAGATGAAGGGATGGGCATGAGTTGTGCCCAGCATTCCCTTCTGTGTTGATGCGGGTGAAGTTTGTACTCAAGTGCTCTGAAGCTCAGGGTACTCAGACATGAAAGTAAAGCCAGGCTGAGATCCTGCCTTCTCCGTCAGACAGGTGCTAAGCCTCAAGTGTGAAGACAGTGTTGGCAGGGTCATTTTAGCCTTTGCTGCCAGCACTGCGGATTAGTCACGGCTCTCAAGGTTTAACGTAGCCTGGGTCCTGTTGGCTGAAATCTGTTTCTTACCCTTCCCTTGGGGAGGGACTTCCTCCTGCAGGTGTATTTCTCAGACTGGGGGAGTGGTCTTTCAGGGCTGGGTTTGGCCAGTGGGAGCTTTTGGGGAGATTAGAGACAGAAAGAAACCAGGTTCTCTCATAGCTGTCCTGCCTCAGGCAGTTTCTCTGCCGCTGCTCCTCCTTTAGGCTCCTTCTCCTGCTACGGAGTCTCTGCTTCCCTAGCCTCTGTCCTTCCCAGCCTCCAAGCCCTGAAAATATCTTCTGCCTTCAGCCTTCTAACAGAAGGGCGAGCTTGTGACTCCTCCTGGTCTCTGGGTTGCCTTACTGTTTCCTGTTTTTCTGTCACATGTGTAACCAATTCCCTAGGCCAGTTTCCCTCTACTGTAGAGCCTTAAAGAGACGGCTGTTTTCCCGTTTAGACTTTGACTACTGTAGCACTAGGCAGTAGCTTTTAAAATCACACTCTGAGTCCTTAGACCAACAGTGCAGTTCTAGGCATGCAACGTGGGGATGCATTTGTATTTGTGTGGGCAATAAGGACAAAAGAGTATTCATCGGCCATGAATCTCCAACAGCAGGAGACTTGGGAGAATAAACGCTAATGTAAGGGATAGTGACTGAAGTTACACAGTTGAGGAAAAAGGCAGCTGCGTAGATACAGAAAGACCTCCATGAGGTTCTGTTAAGTTACAAAAGCAAAGTAGGAAAATATGCATTGTGTGCTCCTTCCTTCCTTCCTTCCTTCCTTCCTTCCTTCCTTCCTTCCTTCCTTCCTTCCTTCCTTCCTTCCTTTCTTTCTTTCTTTCTTTCTTTCTTTCTTTCTTTCTTTCTTTCTTAAGGGAAGTGCATGTATAGGAATGAACATTTTTCTGGAAGGTTAAACAAGGAACTAAGAACAATGATCACCTGTTCAGAGAAGTTGATGAATTTAAGTTGGGAGGAAATGTTTCATTCGATGCCTTTTTATTTCTTGAAATTGGATAAAGCTGAAATAAGTCTGTCTTCACCTTGCTAAAATTAGAAAACAAGTTTCAGGAAAAAAGATTATGCTGTGCTAGTCAGAAAACACATTTTTTTTTTCTTTCTTTTGTTTGTTTGGAACAGTGAATGCCTATAATCCCTTTGCTTGAAGGTTGAGGCAGGGGACTTGCAGTGAGTTTAAGTCCAGCCTGAACTACTTAGTGGGTCCTAAGGACTGTGTGGGCTACAGAATAAACCCTTTTTAAAACAAACAACAACAACAATAAAAAACTCTATCTCTACAAATTCCGCTGTGGTGGAGTACACCTTTAATCCCAGTACATAAAGCAGAGGCAGGTGGATTTCTGTGAGTTTGAGGTCAGCCTTATCTACATAGTGAGTTCCAGGAGAGCCAGGGCTATATGAAGAGACTCTGTATCAAAAATAAAGCAAAACAAAAACAAAACCCCAAACAAATATAACACCCAAACAAAACAAAGAAGCACACACCTACCCCTATAAGACAAAGGAAAATACCCCCTTTTACAAAAAAGATTTATAGCTCAAAACTTTATTTTTTGAGAATATTTACATAA